GCTGAGGCAGGAGAATTGCCTGAACCCAGGAGGCGGAGGTTGCGGTGAGCCGAGATTGCACCATTGCACTCCAGCCTCAGTAACAAGAGCGAAACTCAGTGTCAAAAAAAAAAAAAAATGAAATATAGAACTCAGTAGGCAGGTATAACTGGTTCAGACCTGCCAGGGCTATGTGGAAATTATCATTGGTACAAAACTCTAGGTGTGGAGGACTGGTAAACAAGAAGGGACATGTCTGTTATAAAGAAACATTAAAAACTTCCAGTGACTATGGCCAAGTGACATAAGGGTATATACAACTTCTCAGGACATGCAGACCTACCTGTCACTCATAACTGAAATCCAGATAAATGTTTTGTGGATTCCTGTGGACTCTCTGGGCTGTTCATCTCATGGCCATCACTGCACAGGTAGGAACCTCAAGACAGAGAAGACAGAAATCATGGTCTAGAGTGGCTTATGTGAGTAGCCAGGGTTTCTAGAGAGTCACATGGCCAGGGCCTTCATAATTCCACTTATGGTGGCCACGAAGCAGGTCTGCCCCTCTAAAGGGGTGGGGAAACAATATGGTGGAGTCTTAGTGGTTTTGCAAGAAGAGCCAAATATTTGGATTTTTATGTGGCATCTGATTTCGTAAATGTTGAAAATCATTTCCAAAAACATTTCAATAAAACTCAGTTCACCAAAAACTATAAGTTGGCTTTGTATATTTCCCTGGGTCCTCCTGAGGCCTAGGGGAGAAAAGACCAGAAATCCTCTGACATGAAGCTCTTTGGCCTGTGGTGTCCATCCATACTATATGACAGATCAGAGGCCACTGCAGCTGCCACCTCTCTTGGAAGCCCCTGAGGGGATGGACAATGATAACTACATCATGAGCAGAAGCCACAACAGTTTTGCAGTCAGCAGAGATTACAGCAGGGCTTCTCAAGTACTCCCCAGCACAGTGAGGTGTATGCGGGATCCCTACGTTGCTCAGGCTTGCCTTCCTGAGTATGTCTCCAATATGGAAGACTCGTGTGGGATCAGAATTATAAGGCCAGCTGACTCACATGGGGGCTTCTAAGCAAATAAAGTTAGGGTAGACATGTCATCAGAGCTCAATCCTCTGTGTGAGTGGCCAAGATTAGATCTCATAAAGTGGTGCTGGGCATGATGGTAGCATGTCTGTTCCCAGCTATTTGGGAGACTGAGGCAGGAGGATCACTGGATCCCAGGACTTAAAGACTGCCGTGAGCTAGCTACGTTTGTACCACTGTACTCCAGCCTGAGCAACAGAATGAGACCTTGTCTCTAAAAAGGGAAAAATAAAATGGTTCCCAATACATGAGTAGAGTCCTATGTATTTCTGCTGAACCTGCCTTCTGATCTCCCACTGGGGCTCAGTGTACAGCAGCCAACCTGTTAGGGGAAGGGAGATGTTTGCCAATAATGCCAGAATATTCCAGGCAAAGTCCTGATGGCTCTGACCTTTGGGCTGTGCAGATTACCAGCTTTTGTGGGATTCAATGGTTCCATTGCTTTCAGACTATGCTCAACCCAAAAGGCAGTTGTCTTCCACCCGTTGATGCAGTATACTGTCTACCCTGTTATTTTGCACTCTGTTATATCCAATGGTAGCCCTTTTCTGGGATCTACTGGGCAGTTCCTTTCCCCTGGGCCTTTGCTTGTGCCCTCCCTCATCAGGGACACCCCTGAAAGTCTTTTCAACCTCTCCCAATCATACCTCCAGATCAGCTGTAATCTTTCCTCCATGCTAGTGTTGGCATCTGTCTTCTCTTTGATGCCTATGTTGATTCCCTCATCTCTAACTCTCAAGCTTTGAGTGAATTATCCAGAATATGGGGGCTGTGAAATCTGAAGAGTAGTAGATTAAGGCCAAGGGTGCCAAAACACTCAGTAACTCTTCCGGCTTGGTTCAACTTGGACTCCTACTGCTAATGAATTGTGTGATCTTGGAACACAGACTCCTAAGCTTCAGTTCTCTCATCTATAAAATCCATGAAATCTGTGCTCACAGTGCCCACCAGCATTTCTGACAATACTACTGTAAAGCTCCTGACGCAAAAAGCTCCCCGCCAATATGAAGCACTTTACACCTAGAGTGCGAATGACTACATTTACCTCAGGCCACACCCACTAACCAGTGCTCCAACCATCATACCCAGGTGGCAGACAATGTTGTCCTACCACGCCATGCTCTCACCCTGGACTCCAATTTTGACATTTCTATACTTGCCTCTTGTAAAACCCAGATCCTTTCCCCACCTAGCCGCCTTCTGACACTCAGAGCAGTCTAGCTTAAGTTGTGTGATGGGGGGAGCTCAGTCTGACAACCAATGACTCAGAGCACCCAGTCTCTGGCTTCTCCAAAATGCCAAGAACTCATCTATCTTCAGACCTTGTAACCCTCAAGGAATCACTATACCCTCAGTAGGTATGAAAATAAGACCCCACTGTGATTCAAGAAGGTGATCCTATAAGGGAGCACAAGCAAAAATTTATAACCAAGAGATTTCAACATGGGAGGGTAAGAAGAGAGGAGTAAACAGTAGAAACATTAGACCCAGTTCACCTGCCTTAAAATCCCAGCTCTCTTTCTTACTAGAGCCTATCTGCTATGTGACCTTTGTGTTAGGCCATTTTTGTGTTACTATAAAGAATTATTTTGAGCCGGGTACAGTAGCTCACGCCTGTAATCCTAGCACTTTGGGAGGCTGAAGCAGGTGGATCACCTGAGTTTGGGAGTTTGAGACCATCCTGGCCAGCATGGTGAAACTCCATTTCTACTAAAAATATACTAAATTAGCTTGATGTGGTGACGCGTGGCTGTAATCCCAGTTACTTGGGAGGCTGAGGCAGGAGAATCACTTGAACTTGGGAGGCAAAGGTTGCAGGGAGCTGAGATCACGCTACTGCACTCTAGCCTGGGCAACAAGAGTAAAATTCCATCTCAAAAAAACACAGGCTGGGCTAGGTGGCTCATGTCTGTAATCCCAGCACTTTGGGAGGCCAAGGTGGGTGGATCACAACGTCAGGAGTTCGAGACCGGCCTGGCCAAAATGGTTAAACCCCTTCTCTACTAAAAATACAAAAATTAGCCAGGCACATTGGTGGGTGCCTATAATCCCAGCTACTTGGGAGGCTGAGGTAGGAGAATCACTTGAACCTGGGAGGCAGAGGTTGCAGTGAGTCGAGATTCCGCCATTGCATTTTAGCCTGGGCAACAGGGCAAGAATCCATCAAGAAAGAAAGAAAGAAGAGAGAAAGAGAGAGAGAGAGAGAAGGAAGGAAGGAAAAAGGAAGGGGAGGGGAGAGAAAAAGAAAGGAAGAAACAGGAAGGAAAGAAGGAAAAGAAAGAAAAGAAGGAAGGAAAAGAAAGGAGGAGAGAGGGAGGGAAGGAAGGAGGAAGGGAGGGACAGAGGGGAAAAGAAAAGAAATATCCCAGTCTAGATAGTTTATAAAGAAAAGAGGTTTGGCCGGGCGTAGTGGCTCACGCCCGTAATCCAAGCACTTTGGAGGCCAAGGCAGGCGGATCACCTGAGGTTGGGAGTTCATGACCAGCCTGACTAACATGGTGAAACCCCCGTCTTAAAAAA